CAGTAATGTTCTTTAACACCACAGCTCAAAGGCATGGATTCTTATTCTGTCATTCTTAATCCTTTTCCAGCTCTCAGATGCATAACAGGTGATTGAATCAGGAGCACCTTGATCTTTAAAGTGATATTGTAATTCTTTAGCACTTCGGAGAGGTCCTGGAAGCAGATTTTCCCCCCCAGCGCAACCCCTCTTTTGATTTTTAAAAAAATTTTATTTTGGTTTCTTGACTGCTAGTACCAATGGACCCAAGTCGGATGGAACAGTTGATAATATCAATCTTTTCTCCATATATCATGATTTTTCTATTAGCCTGGTGGTAAGAATTTTTGTTGTCTAGTTATTGAGATGCAATCTATTTTGAAGACAGTAGTCTTTAAACTTATGCAGCAGGTTATTCCAAGTACTCTTCACTCTCAGCAAAATAGCTTGTGTCATCTGTGTAATACAAGAAGTTGATGAATCTTCAGCTAATCTTGATGCCATATTCTTCTTCATAGGGTCCAGCTTCTTGAATTATTTGCTCAATATACAGACTGAGTCAGTACGAAGAATAGATACAGCCTTGACACACATCTTTCTTGATTTTAAACCATGCAGTGTTCACTTGCTCTGTTCTTTACACTGACAGAGAACTGTCAGCAATTGAAGCTGGATTTAGAAGAACCTGTGGCACCAGGGATATTACTGCTGATATCAGCTGGATCTTGGCAGAAAATAGAGAATATCAGAAGCATGTCTATTTGGGTCTTATTAATTATGAAAAAGCATACGACTGTGTGCATCATAACACATTACGGCTGAAATGGAGAAGAATGAGAATCCCAGAATGTTTAATTGTGAGCATGTGAAACTATACCTTGACCAAGGCCTAGGAATCTCTGCCTGAACAGAGCAAAGGAATCCTGGTAGTTGAATGGCTAAGAAGCCTGGCTCCAAACTGAAAGGCCAGTAGTTTGAACAAACTACAGAGGAAAGATGTGGCCTTTGCTTCTGTAAAGACTTGAGCTTTGGAAGTCCTGTGGGGCAGTGGTACTCTCTATATAGTGGTTCTCTCTATATAAATCGGAACTAATTTGCCAGCAATGAGTTACAGGGAAATTTAAAAAGGAAAGATGAAAACACACAATCCATTATTGATGAGAATGTTATTGTAAACACCATACCTGAGAGGCACATCCAGATGGGGCACAGATGACTTAACTAGTACTCTGAGGCCTGTTTTTACAGTTTGACCAGAAAAGTAGCCCCCATGACAGCTGGTGACCCAAATTGTGCATGCACATGACTTGAGCCAGCAAGGCTGGGACTGGAGAATGAGAGGGGTGCTTATGTCTCCCTGGGTTGTCTCTGTACCTCTGTACTGCTTGAGGAAGCTGTGGTAGTACAGTCCATGGGGAGCTGCACTCCTAATTCCCAAACATCAGCCCTTTGGCTGTTCAAATCCACTAGGACCTGATGAGGGGGAAAGCCGGGCAATCTCCTCTAGTGTGATTTAGAGCCTCTGAAAAACCACTGGAGGTGCAGTGATGAGTCAGTTCTGACTCGATAGCAATGAGAGAGTAAGTCAGTGACTGCAAAAGAAGATGCTAGAATACTATTTAGCCCTAGTAAGCTGTATCCTCTTGTTCCCTGCTTCTTTAAAACAGCCAGCTGTGTTCCTAGTTGAATCAGAGGGGAGTACATGGCAGAATCTTATAAAACAATGCTTGTGAGGGTGGCCTGATGTGGCAGTTTCCTTCCGTGGTACCTGGGGGCCAAGCCAAACACTAACTCCAATAGAGGAAGTGGTGACCAGGAGGCAGAGTTATGCCTGCACACAATGTTTCCCCAAAAAGTGGATTTGTTATTGTGTGTGTCGAGTCTCCTGCGACTCATAGCAATATATATGTACAATGGCTCTGAAGCCTGCCCTATCCTGAGCCAGTCACACTGACTCTGATACACTTAATCTTATTGTCCTAGTTATCTCATCAATCCATCTCATCTGAGATCATCCTCTCCTGTGCTGTCCTTCCACCCTTCTAAGTATGATAGCCTTCTCTAAAGACTGGTCTCTCTGGGCCACATGCCCAAAGCATGCGAGACACAGCTTCAGAATCCTTGCCTCCAAGGAGAAACTTGGTTTCAACCTCTCCAACACAGACCTATTTGTTCTCCTGACAGTCCATAAGGGGAATTTAAAAAAAAAAAATTTAAAAATCTGAGCTTGTGTGTGGTTTAGGGGGAAAAAGTGAGCCATACTTTGGGCAACCTCCTTTGAACACTTGGCAACATCAGCTGGTTCTCACTGAAGTTATTTGGACAACACAAAGCAGTTGTAACAAATAAACTCTCAAAGCTCAGTAGCAGAACACAAAAGATGAATCATTGGTAGAGGTGATTCAAAGACCAAGAGCTCCTTCCACCATACCTCCTGTTCCTGAGGGCTTTTGAGTTTTCTGCCCAGGAGATGAGAACAAGACAATGGAGAAGGCAGTTTATTTCTCAACCACATTGATCGCCAGGTGACACCACACCCTTGCTCACATTCCACTGGTGAAGCAGTTCCTGTGACTCACCCAGATACAAGAGAGGCTAGGAAGTGGGATATTCTGGATGCGGACCGCTTCCTTGTCAGAACCAGTTGCTGTCAGCTCTATTCTGACCTCTTGAGACCGCATGTATTGCTGAGTAGACCTAGGATTTTTAAGGCTGTGACTTTTCAGAAGTAGATTAGCAGGTCAGAGGTACACTTGGGTGCATTCTGAACACCAGTCTTTCTTGTTAGTAGTCAAGTGTTTGCATCATCCACCACAGGACTCTGTAAACCCCTGGACCGAAGGCCCAGTGCCGGCTAAGAACTCTGAGAAGAATTCTTAGGGGTAACACTTCCACTTCCCTTGTTGATGTTGTGCATTGCGGAGTCGGAACCAACCCATAGCTGACCCTCAGGGAGTTTTCAGAGGCAGTTTTAATTGCCCACCTTTCTCCCACCAAGCAACTGGTGGATTAGAACTGCCTGCCTCCCGAATTGCAGCTCAACTTCTTACCACTAGGCCACCAAAGCTCAGGCCCCTAGTTGATTAGCTACTAACTTATAGTGGTTGTTTCAGTACCTACTTGTAGCTGATCCTCCAGCAGGTTTTCAGAGCAAAAGATTGCCCATCTTTCTCCTGCAGAACCACTGGTAGATTTGAACCATCACAGAGGCCTCAACTTGGGGTTACCAGCACAACTTACACAGCAGGCCACTAAACATCTAATCTAAAATCATGAGACAATGATTGACCTGTGACAAATCTCACTCATTTGCATTTGTGGGCTGAGATTCAGACTATATGGAAGATGGCAGTTTAATTTTTTATAGAAACTTTTCCCTCTAATTCATAAACCCAAAGGACTACTATTGTCTCCAAATCTATAAAAGTAAAAACTCCTAGAAACTCATGTTTTTCAAACTGTGGCAAGAGTTACAGAAAGGCCCAGCATGAGTAAGATATTTTCCTGGGGCACTAATTTGACTCAGAAACTTCGGGAAAACATTTATGATTTTCTTATTAGCCGGACCACGATGGGGTAGAACGCAAAATACATATGATTTAAAAAAATTTAAATTGTTGGGGCTCTGGACCTCAAAGGAACTTCTTTCTTGCAGGAAAGTGGCCTGCTTCAGGACCATATGTGGGTTTCCATTGAACGCTTCTGAGAGGGATATTTGTGTGGAAAAGTTTGAGCAGAGCTGGCTCTGCTCCAGGCCTGGCTCTGTGCCTTCTTGCTGGCTGCACCCCCTCAAGGAGTATTGCGTTCTTATTAAAGTTTCCTCACGTTTCTAAACCCACAGCTTGTCAGCGCAGGCGTAACCTGAGAGCTGGGGCTGCTGCTTAAATCCAGCTGCCTGGTTTCACAAAGCAGAAAATGGAGACGTAGGGACTTCAAAGAACTTGCCTAGGGCATCCAGAACTTTCCAGGCCAGTGCTTCTTCTCACGTCTCCCACTCTTGCCACTGCCACTCTTGCCACTGCGTAGGAACCCGTGCCAAGTCACAGGGGCCTCTGAAGCAGAAAATCTTTGTGCTAGAAGACTGCCTATTTTTTCTTGGAAGAGCAGCGGGTGGATTCCAACTAAGGACCTTTAGTTTAATGGCTCCAGTTGTATTTTTATTCCCACTTAAGAGTTCCATCCTCTCCACTGTATTAGCTGGAGCCTTGGGTCTGCTTAGGAAAATTTTATTAGTTAATGACTATCAACTCTAGGAAGCTGTGGTGGCCCACTGGGTAAGGTGGTGTGCTGCCAATCAGAAGCTCTAGGGTTCAAATGCACCAAGGTCTCTCCAGGGGAGCGATAGGCAGTTTCCTCCTGTGTGTTTTACAGCCTCTGAAAACGCGCAGATTTCCAGCTCAAGGGTAATGAGTTGGGTGTTGGTTCTTAACCAGCCCTAGTAGAGCAGTGTTTAAAACGCTCGGCGCTAACCAAAAGATGAGTGATTAGAATTTAGCAACTGCTCAGCCTAAGAAGTGGCAGTAGGCTTCTGTACAGGTTGCAGATTTTGAAGCCATATGGTGCATCTCTACTCTCTCCTATGAACCTGCATGACTTATTTTTGTTTGATTCTGGAAGAATGAGTCCGAGCCGAGCATAGAGGGTAGGATGGTGGCTGGCGGGAGAGAGGCCGGATGGGGGCTCAGAGCGAGCACGCGGGCCGCACGGGAACTGCTCCGCGCTCACAGCGGTTGGGCGAGCACTCCAGGCCGCGGCATGGTGCAATCTCCCCCGCGCCTTGCACAGCTCACGGAGGGGGGTGGGACGAGGAAACGCGAGGAGGGGCAACTGCGTCTGCCTCGGATGACTGCGCGGCCAATGGCGATGCGAGCCCCGCTTCAGGAGCCAATCAGCGCAGAGCCTGTGCTAGCGCGGGCCACTGAGCTGGGCGACTCGGCCATTGAAACCTCGTGGGTCCGGGCCCGGCCGCAGTGTGACGCCGCCGCGGGTTACGCGCGCTCTGTGCTATCCATCAATCCTCTGCTGACTCGCCTCCCGGCCGCCGCGCCATGGATGCCCCGCGGGCAGTGGTCAACTTTGGGCCCGGGCCTGCCAAGCTGCCGCACTCTGTAAGTCCCCGCGAGCGTGCGCCACAGCGAGGTCCGGCCGGAGCGCGCGTGGTTGTGGCTTCGCATCCCTTGCGGCCGCTCGCGTCCTCCCTCCGTTTTCTGAATGGTCGCTGACACCTTGCATCCAAGAGTGCTCGGGGGTCAGCTTCTGGAAGAATGCATTTCGTGAAAGGAGTTGGGTTAGGCCTGTGTTTGTGGCTGCCGTTGGCACGAACTGTGGTGCCAGGTGTGCGCGTCTCGGCCGTCTGGGGCACCGGGCTTTGAACCTGCGGACTGGAATGTTGCCTGGTGTCCCGGATCCCGGCGGATCCAGAACGCACAGCCCCAAGTTGACATCCCTTGCGGTACTGGGCGCATCCACGGACGCGGGGTAAATGAATGAAGGGCAGATGAGCTTTACCCGCCGCGGGGTCTCAATGACAGTCTCAGCGCATTGGGGTCGAGTCGGAACCGACTCATCGCTGACCTTCCAGCGGGTTTATGGAGGCTCTAAGCTGCATAGGAGGAGATTGCTCATCCTTCTTCCACGGAGCAGCTGGTGAATTCGAACCGCCAGAGAGACAGATTAGCTGCACGACTCTATGGACGATGACACTAGCGGATAGTCGACTCTCCGGTTTGCACTCCCCCAGACTGTTTAGTTGAGCTAACGTTGAGAAATGATGGTTTTCAAAAATTAGCATTTAAAAGACAGCTCCTTGTCCCTTAGAAAACCTACCCTCCTTTAAACCTGTTCCTCCTTGCTAGCTGCCTGAAGACTCCTAACGAGTATTTAAGCGCCATGGGCACTGGGTTGCTTGCTGTGTACTCTGCACTTTGGTCCAAAGCATATGGATTCAGGCCATTGCCCGACCAGCCTTCAGTCTGCAAATACCCGGGGAGGTTTGTTTGAGCCCCTTTCATCGCCTCCTCTGCCCAGCCCCCATGCCTTCCAGGCCTGAAGGCGGTGACGTGCCCTCATCCTGCTGCACTGCTGCTGTTGTATTTGGTTTTTATCTAACCAGATCAGTCTGCTAACGTGTTTTGACAGCACAGGCCTTAGCCAAGCACTTTACAATTCTCGCTTGCTGTACAGTAGTTTTTGTGTAATGGGTTGTTGAACTGAGTGGAATTCTCCAGGGAACCCAACCTCCTCTGTCATAAGAGCAGAGAGTCCTACAGTTACAGAGCAGAAAGCACATGTTGCGTTTTGCAGGGACGTTTCTCCGTAAGAGAGCAGAGCGTCTTCCTCTTATTAGGCAGAAGCAGAGCTGAGATTGTGAGGAGGGCTCAAGGTCCGGCAGGGCTTGGTTTTGTTGTGCGTGGAGTTGCAGTAAGGTAGAGTGGTCTGGACTGGAAAATGCCTCCACCTTGGCAATCTTCAGTGGGCTCCCATTGTGATGTTACACGTTATTGTAAAGGCAGGTCCTGGAAGAACTATTACTTTTCATTTCCCCATGATATTCCCCCCCCTTTGGTGCGCTCTTTAACCAGCGTGGCAGATGCAGATTGTATTTTGTGTTGTGTTCCACTTTAGTTGATTTCATTTAGTGTGAAAAATTAGTTGTGATCCACAAAATTGATTGCCGTCAGTCAGTAATTTTGGAGAAAACCCAAAACTACTGGGTTAAAGGGACCTGGTATATTTTTGGTAAAGTCTTTAAAACTCCGTGCAATAATTTTGGGACTACACTTTTTTAATTCTACACTTTTATAAATGCCTTTTCTGGGAATACAGTTCATAACAAAACTGCAATCTTAAAATGAGAGTTTAAAGATTATTATATTGAAGAAAATTTCCCCTTTAATAAAGGAAAGGTGTGTGTGCCTCATACAAGCCATAGTATTTTCAATCTCTTCCTATGTATCTGAAAGTTGAGCAATGAATAAGAAAGACCAAAAAAGAGTCAGTGCTCTTGAATTGTGGTGGTGGAGAAGAGTACTGGATATCCCATGGACTGACAAAAGAATAAACAAGTCTGTCTTGGAGGAAGTACAATCTGGGTGGTTCTTAGAGGCAAGGATGGTGAAACTTTGTCTCACATACTCTGGGCATGCTGCCAGAGGAGCCAGCCCCTGGAAAAAGACATCATGCTGGGAAAGGGGAGGGGCAGAACAAGAGAGGAAGACCCTCCTCACTGGGATGCACTGAGGCAGTGACTGTAACAATCCGTTGTCCACAGGATGTCTGGCAGTCAGAGTGGACTCCCTGGCACCTACCAGCACTAACTAGGAAAGGCTTCGTGGAAGTGTGAACAGTCATTACTAAGTAGCATTCACCAGGTCTCAAAACAGTAACATATTCTTGAATCATTGGTGAGGGAAACCATTTGGTTTCATTCTTTATTTGTCAAAACACTTTGTGTAGACAAGCCAAAATCCAGTTAAGCTTCTATTTTAATTATGTCCTCCTTCGTTGATATCTTTTAAAGAAGTCTTTGTAAGACGACAAGATGTGTCTACAAGAGGTTGTGTACCACCTTCTTTGTATTTTCACTTCTCAAATACACATAAAGGCAGACCTCAGAGACACATGATTTGATGACATTTTGCCAATCTTATCTTCACACCCTACACCACTCAGATGATTTTAAAGCCAATCTCAGGAATCCTGTTGGGAACTCTGGTGGCCTAGTGGTAAGAAACTGTGCTGCAATCCCAGAAGCATGTGGTTCAAATCCACCAGCTGCTCTGTGGGAGAAGGATGGACAGTCTCCTCCAGTGTGATTTACTGTTTCTGAAAACCCACTGGAGGGTTCAGCTGTGAGTAGATTTCTACTCAACGATACCCAGCAACAAAGATAACTGTCTTTTCAGTTTCTGGTTATCTGAGTTTTACATGACCTTGAAAGAAGGAATAGAAGCAAAACAAAACACCGCAAATGGGGAGTTTCTGAGAAGCAGGGCTGTGTTTTCCAACAAGGGTCTTAAAAGCTTGAGTGTGTGTGGTTAGTTGTGTCTTCCCTCTGCCCCCTTGAAAAGGTAGAAGCACTCCAGCTTGCTGGAGACCCTAGGAACCATAATGAAGAAGAGGCCGAAAGGTTGACCGAAGGCGCAAAGACCAGTTGCGATTGTTGTGACTCATACATAGTTGACCTTCCTGCAGGTTTTCAGAGGCAGTAAATCTCATGGGAGGAGATTTCCTGTCTTTCTCCAGCACAGCAGCCACATGCTTCTGGGATTGCAATAAAGTTTCTTACCACTAGAGGCCACTTGAGTTCCCGACAGGATCCCTGAGATTGCTTTTAAAATCATCTGAGTGGTAGGGTGTAGAGATAAGAACCAAGTAGTTAGCCTGCCTTTGGGTTGACAGGACAGCTCCTTATCAGTAGGTCACCAGAGCTTTCTGGTTGCCATTGAGTTGGCTCCATTCATGCTAAGCCCATATGTGCCAGAGTAGAATTCGGTAGGGTTTTCAATGGCTGATTTTTGGGGAAGTAGTACCAGGCTTCAGGGTAGACTTGAACATCTAACCTTTTAACAATAACCCTCAGGACAACCATATATACATACCATGAGGGACTGTGGTCAGCACTAGGTAAGTCTCTGAGGCCCTCTGAGCCTCAGTTGCGCTTCTTCAGCTGCAGTTGGGGGTGAAAGTATCCCCCTCTGAAGCAGGTGAGGTGTGACCTCTGAGGGTCCACCAGGAGTGTATAGTTGGCGGACATGTTTCTGCATATGCATTCGTGTGTGCAGGAGGTACATGCAGGTGTATGGTAGAGCATATACAGGGCGAAGTTATGCACACTTAGCTGTTAACCCAACTCCTTGAGGGACTGAGTCACTGGGCTTCAGGACTGAGGACCAAAGTCTTTGGCAACATCTCAGTCAACTGACAAAATGTTCTACATCCTACTTTGCTGAGTCATGACAAGGACCTTAACACTTTAGAGTGGCTTTCTGTCCTGCAACAGGTGGTCTCTCCCTGTGCAGAGCCGGGAAGAGCGAAGAAAGTCAAAGGCTTAAGGAATGCAGTTAACCCAGAGGACTAATTTGAACATTGTCGTCTACTAGCCTGACACCAGAGGAACAAGATGGTGCCCAGCTCCTGCTGCTTGCCACTTTGTGATATCAGGGTCATGATGTAAGGTCCTAGACACAATGGGAGGAAAAGATAGAACAAGACTGAAAATAATAAGGAAGACTAGGTTTACTAATCTGCTGTAGACTGGTAGACTCTCTCAGGCTGCAGCCCTCAGGCATCCTTCAGGCGTGGTGCTGAGCCTTCCCAGAGGATCGCCTCTCAGACCTGTGAGTGAGTTGTCCCATCTGTGGGGACTGGCCTCTGTACCCCAGAGGTTAGAGGCAGAAGCCACTGCTGTGGAAGCCCTTCTGACTGACCCTTCATAAGATACTGAGGCTGCAGTGCAATCCTGACAGGAAGAGCTCTCGTGGATGAGCCATTGGCACTCTACAGACCAGACCGCCAGAGTCGGGACCCTGGTGGTGCGGTGCCCCACGTCCTGGGCTGCTAAAGCAAAGCACAGGTGGTCTGCGGGAGAGAGAAAGCTGGACAGTCTCCTCTCGAAAAGACTTACAGCCTTGGAAACGTGTGGGAGGGTGGCAGGAGTTAGAATTGACTGGACAGCAGAGAGTTTGGTATGGGTAAGAGACAAGCAAGGCGATGTTTGCCCAAGAACAAAGTTCAGAGGTTAGAAGAGCCTGGAGACTCTACAACCAGGAGAAGATAAAATAGATGAATGGGACCTTCTAAGAATCAAATCCCTATGCACATCCAAAAACTTCTCCAACAGGGTAAAAAGGGAAGCCACAGACTGGGAAAAATTATTTGGTAATGACATATCAGATAAGGGACTTATATCTAGAATTTATAAAATACTTGAGCACCACAACAAGATAAAGGTAAATAATCCATTTGAAAAATGGACACAGGATATGAACACACACTTCACCAAAGAAGACATTCAGATGGCCCACAAGCACATGAAGAAATGTTCAAAATCCCTAGCTCTAAGAGATGCACATCAAAACAACTATGAGATATCATCTCACCCTGGTCAGAATAGCAAAATTTAACAGAACAGCAAGCAACAAATGCTGGTGAGGTTGTGGAGAAACTGGAACCCTTATTCACTGTTGGTGGGAGTATAAAATGGTGCAACCACTGTGGAAGGTGGTATGGCGCTTTCTCAAAAAGTTGCAAATAGAGATACCATTTGACCCAGCAATTTCACTACTGGGAATATATCTCAAAGAGACCATAACTGACATCCAAGCAGATATATGCACACCCATGTTTATCATGGCTTTGTTCAGAATAGCAAGGAGTTGGAAACAACCCTAGTGCCCATCAACAAACGGATAGAGAAGCTGAGGTATATTTACACAATGGAATACTATGCTGCATTGAAAAACAAGGAACTCATGAAATATTATTGAAAATGGGTGACCCTGGAGGACATTATGCTGAGTGAAATATCTCAGTCGCAAAAGGACAAATATTGCCTGGTGCCACTGCTGTAAAATGGGACTGATATCAGGGTGGGGGTAAGACTGAGAAAAACTGGATAAATTGTGTATACTGCACTGAAACAGATGAGGGAGAGAATAATTTAAAAGCGATGTATGATAGGGTATTATGGTTATCACAAGAGTCCACAATTAAGGTTGCATAGTGGAATGCACTTGGGGTGGTGGGAGGGGTTCGGGGGGAAATTGTGTACCAGGGAGAGGAGCGAACTGGGGAGTGGAGAGGGCTGGGCGGGGAGAGAAGTGCAGCAATGAATGAATGGCAATCCAAAATCTCTGTAAATGTTCATTAAAATCATTTAAAAAATTATTAAAATAAAAAAAATTTGAATTTAAAAAAAATAGACCCCAGAGAGGGAGAGAAATGGAAGTGGGAACCTCAGGAGGAAGTGGGGAGAGTGCTGCTGTTTTGTGAAGTCCAGAACTTGTGTGAAACAAAATGCATATATGTTGTTGAATATGAAACTAGTGTTCTCTGTAAACTTATACCCAAATTACAATAAAATATTAAAGAGGGGAATAGTGATGATTGAGATGATGATTTTTAATGCCATTGAACTGAACATGAGAAGAATACTGAAATGGCAAATGTTTGTTACCTATATGTTTGAAACACACATATACACTCCCATCCTTGTTTGACATGGCTCTGTTGTCAGTACCAAAGGATACTGGTAACATGAGTTTCCTTTCTGAGGATTTTCATTCACAATGAACATGTCTTTCTTGCCTACTCCCCTACCCATGTTCTAGGCTAGCATCTTAGACCAAAAACATCAAACATTGTGTGTTGTAACATATGGAGTTGCAGTGTGTCAGGATCTACCACGTTTGCTTTCTCTTTGTTTTGGGGGATAGGTTATCAGGACCATAGGAGCTCTCTGGTGGCATAGTGGGTAGGGGGTTGCACTGCTTACGCAGTGACCACACTTGTTTGGTGGTTCAGATCCACCAATTGCTCCAAGGGGGACAGCTGGGCAGTCTCCTCCCATGTGATTTATGGTCTTGGAAATGAAATGGAGCTGTGAGTTGGGTTCTAATTGATAACAATGAATTTAATTTGGGCCCAACTTTTTTTCTCTTGTTCCTTTGAAAGCAACATTTTATAATTTCTGTACTTGACTTTAAGAGAGGCTAAGGACTTATTTTTTTTTTTATGAATGTGCCCCTAGACTATTGTCCTGATGCCCTGTGACCAGCGACTTGTTTCATGGTTAAGTTGTTTACATCAGTTTGTGCTGTATAGGGGGATGCATTTATATCGCATACAGTTAGGTGCATAGACACGTGTCTGCCAGGCCTATGCATGTTCCCGGGTGTAGGCTCTTCAATTTCCGTGCCTGACTATAGCCGCTTGTTGATGAATGTTGTTATCGTTAATGCAGGAGAGAATGGATGATTTTGAGGTGTGTGGAGGGAACATTTTCTAGAGAATGGTATTTATCCGAAAGATCTTATCTTGACAGATAGATGTCATCAGAACAGTTCTATGTATCCAAGTAAATTTGTATCTAAGAAAAACTGTATCTGAAACAATGAATGATTGGAAGTCCAAGTTCTCTGTAAACTTGTGTTCAAATCTCAATGGAAAAAAAAAAGACAAACTATCATAATTTGATGCAATCACTATGAATCACTAAGACTTGAGTGCTACAGCTGCACTACTGACTCTGGGCAATGTACACTGTCTCCAGGCCCTGATGACCCTGTGTGGGGACCCTGGCCTGTTTGTGAACGGGGAGAGCTGTGCTTGGCACCAGGAACTCATCTTTTCTTTGCTTTTTTTCTAGGTGCTGTTGGAGATACAAAAAGAGTTACTAGACTACAAAGGAATTGGGATTAGTGTTCTCGGTAAGGGTTACTGGCTGCATTCTATCACTGCTTCAGAAGAAGAAGGACCTAATTGAAATGCATCAAGCCTACAAGTACTACGAGGTCTTTGTGGAGGCCTTTGCAGATACACTATTAGACTTTAATAACTTAGAGGCAAGCTCAAAAATTCCCCTGCCACAGCTGGTGGTGATGGGAGGGAAGAGCACATTGCATATATTTTACAACTGGCTTTTGACTATCACAGCATTTGAAGTGAAGATACAGTTCATTTGTGTAACAGTCCCCCGAACATTTATAATATTGCTACATATTGCAGTTTATAGGTTTTGTTTTCTGTATGTACTAAATTATTGAAGTTTGAAAGTATACAGATCTTTTGTAAAGATATTACATATTGAGAATTTCTTTGTTAGTTTTACTCTTATGTTATTGGAGAGGTAGGCGGTCTGGTAGTAGTAAGGAGTTGTGCTGCTAACTCAAAGATTGTTGTTGTTAAGTGCCGTCGAGTCGTAGGCGACTCATATCATAGCAACTCTGTGAACGAAAGACGTGAACACTTGTGTAACTTTCATCATTTCTCCAAGCTCATAGGGTTTCTGGAGGCAGGCTATTTTGGTCCTCCTGCTTCCAAGCTTATTTTAATCAGGAAGCTCCACTAAACACTGTCCACCATGGGCAACCATTATCACATTTGACACATCAGTGTCACAGTGTTTAGCATCACAGCAACCACAAGTTACCTCTGTACAGCAATGCACAGATCAGTGCTATACCACCTGGGCAGTTTAAATCCATCAGCAGGAGAAAGACAGGCACTGTCTTGTGTGATTTACAGCTTCTGAAACCCATTAGAGGGGCAGCTATGAATGGATTCCGACTGAATGGCATATAACAATAAGCAACACTATTGGGGAGGGGCCCTGGTGGTGTAGCGATTAGGCACTTGGTTAGTACCTGAAAGGTTGGGAGTTTAAATCCACCACCTGCTCCATGGGAGAAAGATGATGCAGTGTGCTTCTGTAAAGATGTGTGCTCCTAGAAGTCCTATGGGCCTGGAAAAGCTACAACCAGGAGAAGATAACATAGATGAATGGGACCTTCTAAGACTCAAATCCCTATGCACATCCAAAAACTTCTCCAGTAGGGTAAAAAGGGAAGCCACTGACTGGGAAAAAGTATTCGGTAATACCATATCAGATAAGGGACTTATATCCAGAATTTATGAAATACTTGAGCACCACAACAAGATAAAGGTAAATAATCCAATAGAAAAATGGGCACAGGATATGAACAGGCACTTCACCGAAGACGACATTCAGATGGCTAACAAACACATGAAGAAATGCTCAAAATCCCTAGCCCTAAGAGAGATGCAAATTGAAACAACTATGAGATATCATTTCACCCCAGTCAAAATAGCAAAATTTAACAGAACAGCAAGCAACAAATGCTGGCGAGGTTGTGGAGAAACTGGAACCCTGATTCACTGTTGGTGGGAGTGTAAAATGGTGCAACCCCTGTGGAAAGCAGTATGGCGCTTTCTCAAAAAGTTGCAAATAGAGATACCATTTGACCCAGCAATTCCACTGCTGGGAATATACCCTGAAGAGACCATAGCTGACATCCAAGCAGATATATGCACACCCATGTTTATTGCAGCTTTGTTCACAATAGCAAGGAGTTGGAAACAACCTAAGTGCCCATCAACAAACGAATGGCTAGAGAAGCTGTGGTATATTCGCACAATGGAATACTATGCTGCATTAAAAAACAAGGAACTCATGCAATACTATTCAAAATGGTTGACTCTGGAGAACATTATGCTGAGTGAAATATCCCAGTCACAAAAGGACAAATATTACATGATGCCACTGTTGTAGAATGGGACTGTCCTTGGGGTTGGGGAGAGACTGAGTAAGATGGGTTCAATAATGTATACTGCACTGAAAAAAAAAAAAAGAAGTCCTATGGGGCAGCTCTCCTCTCTGAGCGGATATTGATAGCAGCGGATTTCATTTTGGTGTATTATCAGAGAACCTCTTGAGGGACCTTTGAGTTTTAAAGTTGACTTTAATTTGTTTTATTTTATTTTTTTTGTCATTCCAAAGGGCACAGTATTAATGACCTGTACAGCCAGCTATATGCTTGTTGCTGCAATGGGTGAGAGTTCTAATAGTCTATGGGCTGAAAATTCTGAGCCTAGCTCCCAGCCTGGAGTTCTGAATGTGCCATGGATTCTTGTTCTTGAGAAAGAGATGGAGAGAAAAATCTAAAGTCCTAAGGATGAACCTGTGAATGTCTCTGTCACTTAAAGAATCACTCTGCTCTGATTCTAAGGCCTAGGCATTTGTCACTGGGAAATTCATTTGCATCTTTAATCTTGAGGTTCAATATTTAAGTGCAAAAATCACAGAAATTTCTCTTTATTTTGTTACTTGCCAATTTTGTAGCTGCTTGTAGAGTTTTTCCTTGTTTGGTTTTGAATGGAAACTTTTATTTTGTTTCTCTTTCCCACCACAGAAATGAGCCACAGGTCAGCTGATTTCTCAAAGATTATCACCACCACGGAGAATCTTGTGCGGGAATTATTGTAAGTTAGAAGTTTAAGGACCAAATTATGTTTACACACCCAGTTGTCTTATTACATTATTATCTGAACTTGTTTTTTGTTTCCAGCATGTTCTATAATTAAGCCTAATATTTTTAAGATTCTCCCAGGTTCAGCCATAAGTACATGATGCTATTGGTTTTGTCACTGTTCTTGAATGACCATTAGCTGCTGTGGAGCTAGTTCTGCCTCATGGTTGCTCCACTTGTGCACGGTGGGAGGGTTCCTTGGATTTTTAAGTGTGTGGCCTTCCTGCTGTCAAGTTGGAACAGCTCATAACTGACCTTCCAGTAGTTTTTTTGGAAGCTGTCAATCCTATTGGAGAAGATTGCCCACCTTCTCCTGCAGAGCTGCTGATCGATGCTGCCTTTGGGTCAGGAGTGCAACACCACCAGAGCTCCCTTACAAACAAAGTGACCTGGGAATAAATGTTCCTGCTCACAGAAGTAATGTCCATTCATTGTAGACAGCTTGGGAAAATGAATGCACACTGAGAGCTGGAATCTTGTCCAGCCCCACCAGTGAGGGATAACTGTTGCTAATATTTTATGATTCTGTGCAATGGTTTGTATCCTTACATTATTTTATTAACAAAAATGGGCATTGTACTGATTGTCAAATAACTTTTCCTTTGTATGAATTCCCTAGGGCCGCTGTAATGAAATGCCATGTACTGAGTGGCTTATAAGGGCAGAAATTTGTCATTGCACCCTCCTGAAGGCTGGGAGTTCAAGATCAGATCAGGCAGGGCATTAGCCGTGTTGATTCCTTTCCAGATGTCAAGAGAGAATCCTTTCGTGTTTCTCTTCCGCTGCTTGGTGGTGCTGGGCTTTCCTGGACTTGTAGCTGTAATGTCACTTGGCATTATTCCTCTGTCTCCATGTCTCTTTTCTCCTCTTTTGAAAAGAACCTTAATTGTAGAATTAGGATTCTCCCTAATTGGTGGCCAAGTGGGTGAAGAGTTGGGCTGCCGACTCATAGGCAGGCAGGATTCACCAGCTGCTCTGAGAGGAAAAGCAGGACAGGCTCCTCCTGTGCGATTTACAGCCTCTGGAAACTCACTGGAGAGTCAGCTCTGAGTCATTTCCTCCTCGGAGGCAGTGGCTTGTGTTTTGAGTTCTACTGGTCGAAGGAGCTCTGGGGGCATGGGGTTTTATGTGTGTGTCACAAACTGAAAGTCCCGAGGGAGAACGATGGGCAGCCTCCTGCCATCAGGACTGGACACAAGACGGAGAGTTGCCACAAGTCAGCATCGACTCAATGGCAGAACTTTAAATCTTTCCGTTTTACTCATTATTACCTCACATGAATCTGATAATATCGTCAAAGCCCCTGTTTATAAACAAAGTCATAGTAACAGGTTCAAGGGCTTAAGAGGGATTTTTATCAGCATGTCTTTTAGGGGGCACAAAATTGAATGCATAACATTTTCTAAATTGCCCTAGTGGGGTGATTCAGATGGGGTGGGCTTGGTGATGTTTTATGTGAGGCGTGAACACTGCAACATGAGTGTTCAGGACTGGAGGCTGTTGCTGGGCTTCTCCCACCCCTGCCTACTTGCAAGGTCCCCTGTGGGTCACAGAATCACAGAATACTCTTCCTTTCATGGAGTGAGTGGGGAGTTTGAACTTTGGCTCAAGAAACGATCGTTAGACCCACTTGGCAGTGAGCCGCCTCTGGCGGGACTCCCATTTCGTTTACTGTTCCATATTTGCTTGCTCTGACCACACTCCTACTTTTGGTTTCTGGAACAAATTTCTGACCGCTTTCTTACCAGTTAAACAGCATGCATCAGAATAACTTTCATCTAGAATCTTGTCATGGCTACCAGTCTGTCCTGGTTGCTAGAAGTTCATGCTTAGAGCCCTGTTAGAATCTGGCTGCTTGTCCACTCTCCGTGTGAGCACAGCTGTAGACCAGGCACTGTCCACAGCAAGGTGATGGGTTCCTTTTATTTTCTCAGATCCTGTCACTTGGCCCTGGCCTTCTGTTGTTTCCCTCGCCTCTCTGTGCTCTTGCCATGTGCATTCTGTGTATCTGTTCCTACATGCAGTGACGTGGGTCCTAGTCTTTCTGGAGCTGCCTGTAGCCATTCAGCCTATCGTCTTCATAATTAAGAAATTTGCTCTTAGTGTTGATGTGGTACATGATTAGACCTGACATGCATCAAAGATCCTTCCCCAGCGTTCACTGGGTGGTAGGGTGGCTAGGTCATGGATATTTTCAGGACATTTGGTTCTGAGTGATAGAAATCATTTAACTCTCTGCTGTAAGTGAAAAGAAAGTGCATTGGGTCACAAAGCAGAAAAGTGCAGGAGTGATTTCAGAGCTCAGATAAAGTCAGAAGGGCCCTTTTCTCTGTCTCCTGGCTCTTCTCTAGCTTCATTCACACACATACCTTCCCCATGTGGAGACCAGGAGGCCTTGGTTGAAGTGTTAACTCCTCTAATAATAGAATTTATTTTTCTTAAGTGATTTGAGAAAAAGTTGAAGTTGTTAAAGATTTCATTTTACTTGGATCCACACAATCAACACCCGTTGTAGCAGCAGTCAGGAAATCAAATGGCCTATGGCATTGGGGAAATATCTGCCGTCAGAGGCCTCTTTAAAGTGCTAAAGAGCAAGGATGTCAGTTTAAAGAGTAAGGCCTGCCTGACCCAAGTCGTGGCATTTTCATTTGCTTTGTATATATCAGAGAGTTGGACAGTGAATAAGATTGGAGAATTGGTACCTTTGAATCATGGTGTTGAAGAAGAGTATTGAATCTCCTGTGAACTACCAAAAGAACAAATAAATCTGTCTCAGACAAAATACAACCAGGGTGCTTCTTAGAGGCAAGGGTAGTGAAACTTCATCTCACATAATTTAGGCATGTGGTCAGAAGGGACTGTTGTTGTTGTTGTTGTTGTTATGTGCCGTCGAGTCGTTTCCGACTCATAATGACTCTATGCACAACAGCCCTAAACCCTGCTCTATCCTGCGCCAACCGCACTGCCTCTGACACACCCATCCCGATTACCCCAGTCACTGAATCAATCCATCTCATAGAGGGTCTTCCCCTCCTGCTCTGTCCCTCCACCCTCCCAAGCATGATGTCCCTCTCCAAGGACCCGTCCCTCCTGGTAACATGTCCAAAGTATGTCAGACGAAGCCCCAGAATCCTTGCCTCCAAGGAGTAGCTTGGTTTAATCCTCTCCAAGATGACTCTGTTTGTTTTCCTGGCAGTCCATGGTACATTCAGTACCCTTCTCTAGCACCACAGCTCAAAAGCATCCACTCTCCTTCTGTCCTCCCTAGTCATTGTCCAACTCTGATGCATAACAAGTGATTGCAAATAGAAAAAGATATCATGCTGGGAAATGTGGAGGGTCAGTGAGGGAGAGAAAAACTCTTAAGCTACAGCCGTCTTGAGCAGGTCCTGAGGATACTGCAGGATCAGGCAGGGTTTGATCTGTTGTGTGTCGGGTTCCTATGAGTTATAGTTAGCACCTCATTAACAAATTTATTCTTCAGCTCAGTAGATACAGTTCTTCCTTCCATAAATTCAGTCAAAGGTCTCAGAGCCAATGCCTGTCTTATGCTATTCCCCAGGACCTGGAATTGGCCACAGTGGACCTTGTGACCTACTGCCAGAGGAATAATTATTTAAAGGAAAATTTAAATATTGTTACTGGTGAAAAGAAGAATCAATTCTCTATATTTAGTTGCCAAAAGTGTGCATTGCTGTGCTTAATAAACAGGTGCTAATTGGATAAAAGACTGAAAGGGGATGAGAAAATTTGTAATAGTGGGATTTTACCTTATGTCTCATAGTAAATCCACCCAAAGTAAAACACTGATGGGCTGTAACTTAGTCTTGGTCTTTGCTTATGTAAGTCTTTGTACTAAATGTCACCTGTACTTCTGCCCAGGGCTGTTCCCGACAACTACAAGGTGATTTTTGTGCAAGGAGGTGGGTCTGGGCAGTTCAGTGCTGTCCCTTTAAACCTCATTGGCCTGAAAGCAGCAAGATGTGCTGACTACGTGGTGACGGGAGCTTGGTCAGCTAAGGCTGCAGAAGAAGCCAAGAAGTTTGGGACCGCTAATATGGTCTACCCCAAACTTGGAAGTTATACAAGTAAGTGGTGGGAGGTGAGCCACCCTGGACATTCTGCCCGTGTTTATCATTCTTAATTCTCTTGGGTTTGGTATCACTTACATTGGTGGACTGGCTGTGCTCATTGAGATTGTTAACTGGCTTTTGCAGGAAGTCTTCCAGATTCATTTAAGCTTAATTGTGCAAAGCCTGGTTCAGCTTTAGGTATGGCTTGATCAAGGGCCTCAGTGATGTCTCTAGGTCCTAATCTCAATCTGATATTTCTACATTCAAGAAAACTTCCCCTCTTATTTGGCTGCAGCTGCTTTTGATCTGATTATCTGGATTTTAATGTGTTTGAACATTCTTGTAACAGCCTGTTGTGTGCCTCATTTTGGATGAGCTGCTGTGCTGTGCCCGAGCTGCATTCTGCCTCCAAGGCTGAGCATGGAATCAGCTTCACTGGAACCATTTACGTTGGGAGTTGAGGAGGGCTGGAACCCTAAGAGGAACCCAGTAAACTATAGATAGATGGATGGATGGGTGGGTGGATGGATGGAAGTTGAGTGACAAGAAATAAACATAGCATCCTGTTCTTGACCTTTTCCACCAAATGGTATTTAGAAAAGTGCAGTAGGTCACACTTGTAGCATCTAGGCTGTGAATGCTTTTGTTTCTATGTGGGAAGAAGGTTGGGATATTTTAGCTTGGGAAATGCTTTGGAATCCGTGAATGTTTTACTGCTAAGACAGGAATATCAATCTGGGTAAAAGATAAGAGTTGTTATTGCTGTTGTTATATGTCCTTGAGTTGCCTGTGACTCATAGCGACCCTATGTGCAACAGCCCTAAACCCTGCTCTATCCTGGGCCAATCTTACTGTCTCTGACATACCTACCCCATTATCCCAGTCACTGAATCAACCCATCTCATTGAGGGTCTTTCTCTCCTGCTTGCTCTGTCCCCCCCACCCTCCCAAACATGACATCCCTCTCCAAGGACTGATCTCTCCTTGTAACATGTCCAAAGTATGTCAGACGAAGCTTCAGAATCTTTACCTCCAAGGAGCAGCCTGGTCTCACCCTCTCCAGGACAAACCTGTTTATTCTAGCAATCTATGGTATATTTAATACTCTTCTCCAGCACCACAGCTCAAAGGCATCAATTCTCCTTCTATCATCTCTAGTCATTGTCTAGCTTTCTAATGCATAGCAATTAATTGTGAAGTTTATGGCCTGGATCAGGGGCACCTTAGTCTCCAGATAGACATCGTTGCTCTTTAGTACTCTGGAGAGGTCTCTGACAGCAGACTTTTCCAATGCATTTCTTCTTTTAATTTCCTGGCTGCTGGTACCATGAGTGTTTATTGTGGAGCTAAGCAAATGAAAGCTGTTAACAATCTCAATCTCTTCACCATCTATCATGATGCTGCCAATCGACCCAGTGGTGAGAACCTTTGTTTTCTTGATGTTGATCTTCAATCCATATTGAAGGCTGCAGTCCTTGACCTTCTGCAGCAAGAGTAGATAGACATGGCAAATGCCATACTTTATTCCCTATAATAGAAATTCCAGATCCAAGCACCTGGAGCCTCAACCCGGATGCCTCCTACGTGTATTACTGTGCAAACGAGACTGTGCATGGAGTGGAGTTCGATTTTGTGCCTGATGTCAAAGGAGCAGTGCTGGTTTGCGACATGTCCTCCAACTTCCTGTCCAGGCCTGTGGACGTTTCCAAGGTAGTGTATGTGAAGCTGCTTTAGGGAAACCCACTGTTTGAGTATATTTAGAGGAATTTTAATGTATATTATTTGTTGATGCTTTTGGGGTTGAGGTGGCTATAAGGCAAGATGAAGCTCTTTCTGTTTGTTTGATTTATTTTTAAATTATGATTTGAGAAAAAAATTGATGATAGAACAGGTTAGTTTTCCATCCCACTGTTCCTACATGTTTTGTTTAATGATATTAATTATAACACCCACATTGTAACATCATCCTCCCCACTTCTTCCCTGTGGTCGTAGTTTTCATGAATCCTCTTCTCCCCTTCCTGCCTTTTGAGCCTCATTCGTGGGCAAATGCTCCCCTTCTGGATCGTGTATGTTGCTTGTTAGATGGAGCTGTTTCCCGTAAGCTCTCAGGGTCTAGAGAATGAGGGGAAGAAAGAGCAGTTCGTGATCATTGGTAGAATTCTCACATTCCCTGTGGGAGCTGTCAGTTTCCTGGCCAGTTTACCTTGTGCAGGCATCACCATGTCAGTGGAGGCATGTGTGTTTCTATTATACTGAACAGGTTTTTAGCAGAGCTTCCAGACACACTAGGAAAAAAGGCCTGGTGATATACTCTTCGAAGTTAACCAGTGAAAACGCTATGGACTACAGTCTGATCCACAGCCATCATGGAGGTGGTCCAGGGCTGGGCCATGCTTTGACTCATTGTGTGTGGGGTTGCACAAAGCTGTAGCTGATTTAGCAGCAGGTATAACAATTGTATAAGCAAGGCCAAGGAGTCTGGGGCCAGCAGACGCTGGAGCAGGGCAGCTCCTAATAAAAAGATATGTTCACTACTGATTGTAGAAATTTACCAGCACAACATTTCCAGTCCTTGATAGTGATGGCCTCACAGCGTCTACTCAGGCCTTTGCCGGCTTTGCTGCCTTTACTGACTCCTCACCTGTTTTCGTTAGCAGAGTGTGAGTGACTTGCACTCTATGAGGGAACATGCATATTACTCAGTCTCGGGGGGTGGATGTTGAAGAGCCTCTTCTTGCCTTAGACTCATGTCAACTCCGAGCAGACACAGATTTCATGAGTGGTTTGCTAGGTGGAATGCTCGGAACAGACCACCCGCTGAGTGCACAAAGTGGGTGCCGTGTCTGAGTTTTAAACCAGCTAATCCAGCTGAAAGGCAGCTTGCTTTTTATTATCACCATTCACTGGCAATTCTCAAGGACACCAAATTGAACTTGCTCCTTCCCACTAGGACAGGCTGTTCAGAGAACTTTTGGGTTAATGGTCCACTGGGACCTGGACAACCAAGATCAAACAAAACAAGCCTCAAACAAGGACAGAAATGGCTAGAGAAGAGCTGAGCAAACAGTGTGGTGCACAAGATAAAGAGATGGAAAGTGAGGTGGGCAGAGTCCCGATGACTCTCTGGGGCCATCAGGTCACTGATCACCCTCCCTTGATGGGATTTGAGGCCCCTCATTGGTCCACAGTGACAGGATTAACATACAAACTCTGTTTCTGTAGAGAGTGGTTAATGTATAGTCCTACTTTTGGTTCCCAATGACAGTTGAAAGGAACCGATTGTATTTCATCACCTCCTACTCAGGGCAACCTCATTTGTGTCAGACTAGAACTGTGTGCCATAGGGTCTTCACTGGCTGATGTTTTGGGAACAGCAAGGTCTTCTGGGATGCCTCTGAGTAGCCTTTCAGTTGGCAGCTGAGTGTGTTAACTTCTTGTACCACTGAAAGGGCTCTGGTGGCGCCGTCTGTGGCATGTTGTGTGGCTGACTGGAGGCTGTGTGTCTCCAGTGGTTCTGAGGGAGGGATGGGGAGTCCCATTGCAGCCTTGAGGAGCTGACAGAGGTTTGCTAAGAGAATTGACCTAAAGGTACTGACGTGGGTCTATTTTTTACATTTTAGAGATCGCAGGTATAATTAGAGGTGCATTTGAGACGACTAGAAAGGGGGGTCTACAGAATGAATTCTGGCATACTGTCGAGGCAGAACTGACCCATTAGCAGACCCTCTAGTGGATTTTCTGAGGTAGTAAGTCACATGGGGGGAGATTGCGCCTCTTTTTCCTGCCGAGCAGCTGGTAAATTCAAACCATGTACCTTTGGGTTGGCAGTGCAGTTCATTACTACTAAGCCTCCAGCGCTCCTTACAGAATAAATAGAATACGAACATATATAAAGTTACTAAGATGATGGGCTTGAGTCAGTACCTCACTGGTGACAGATGGACAGACACAGCTCCTGGAGCTTGGGAACTGGGAATCTTGACTGATGCCTGCTCTCCAATAAAGGGTGCTTTAGGGAATGGAATGTGCTCGAAATAGTGTCCCTTCTTTGCAGAAATTGGAAAGGAGGTTAGGAAACTTGAATAAATTTGTGAAAAATGGTCAAGCGCTCCTGAAACAACAGCCTCTGTTCTTCCTTTTTTCTGAAGTTTGGCGTGATCTTTGCTGGGGCTCAGAAGAACGTGGGCTCGGCTGGGGTCACGGTGGTGATCGTCCGCGATGACCTGCTTGGGTACGCGCTCCGAGAATGCCCCTCCATTCTGGAATACAAAGTGCAAGCCGCAAGCAACTCCTTATACAACACACCGCCGTGCTTCAGGTAAAGGTGGGCCCCTCGCTGTGACCTGCTGAGTGGCCCCACTGACTGGACGGCCCCAGATAGCCGTCAGGGTCTCTGCCCACCTCGCCTTCCCCTCTTTCCCGCCCCTGCACTGTGTGGCCCACTCTCCTTCTTGCTCTCTTTCCTTCTTTCTTGGTAGTTTTTGTTTGATGCCGGTACTCCAGGCCCTGGTGGCTTGTCATTAATCCAGAATTGCTCTGAGGATGAAGTACCATGGCACCGTGGCCTGCATGGCAAATAACCAGCTCGGCTTTGAACAAAGGGGCTTTGAGAGGCTGGGCTCCCCAGCTTTCTTTTCTTCCCTGCTGGGTTTGTATGAAGCTGGCGGCCCCTTAGTAGACACGCTGCCCGGGACTCTATTCTAGAGTTTCCCCACAGAGTTCTGTTAGCTGAGTGGGAGGCAGCATCACAGCATTTCCTGGAAGAGCAAGCCTGTCCCCGACCTCTCCCCACATCCATAACAGCTTGACTTAGGGCTTCTGTTACGATCCACTCTGCTAACAATGGCCTGAGAGATCCCACTGGGCAAGTCACTTACCCTCACCACCACGGTTTTCCTCGGGACTAATGCTACTACCTTCCTCGGGGCTGTTGTGAGGATTAGAGAAGTTGGTGTAATCTGTGCCAACATGTCGTATGTCACTTTCTCCTGCAGACCGGTGGATTTGAACCATGTGTCTTTGGGATTGCGACACAGCTATTCCAATTTAAGAAAATAGACGCTGTTGACTCCTTCTCTTCAGCATCTGTCTGGGATGTGTGGGAGGTTTCTTAAAAGAGTGTGAAACAAGGGCAGCCTGTGGTCTGTATGGATCAAGACCTTTCCAGAACTCACCCTTTCGCTACATAGTTTACCACTGGAGGATTGCTGTTGGGTTAGAACTGACTTATACTTAACCCTCCACTGGGTTTTCAGAGATTATAAATCACATGGGAGGAGATTGCCCATCTTTCTCCTGTGGAACAGCTAGTAGATTTGAACTGTTAGCTTTGGGGTTGGCAGCACATATCTTTACCCACTAGGCCACCAGAGCTCCCTTTACTAGAGGAGAGGAGGGATTTTTTCTAAACTTAAAATTCAGATGGCAGTTCCCCGGACTCTCCTCACAGCAGATCTGTTGCGTCCATTCTCACATGTGGTGAAAGTCTGGCGGGCTGCGGGGAGAGTCCAGTGGGCTGCGGGGAGAGTCCAGTGGCCTGCGGGGAGAGTCCAGCGGCTGTGGGGAGAGTCCAGTGGGCTGCGGTGAGAGTCCGGCGGCTGCTGTGAGTCCAGCGGACTCTTAAGTCTGAGCAGGAGTGTCTCATGAGTTAATTGCTCACCTTTTGGTTAGTAGCCCAGCATGTAGTCCACTGTGTCACCAGGTCTCTGACTATTTGACCAGAAGTGTGTACATGTAGCTGGTGGAGACCCCGGATCAGAGTTACTGGCTTACCTTCACTGCCCACCACCACACTCTAGCCCCTCAAACCTCTTTTGTTACTTGTTTTATAAAGGCAAGCCTTAGCGGTCAGTGGACTCGCCGAGACAGAAAATAAAAGTTCTCAGTAACTGAAGAAGGACTGCACACCTGCCATGTGGGCACGGGTGTTTCGGTGGCAGACTGCTTACCTTCTTGTAGGGGACAGAGCTCAGTTCCCGGCCAGCCCACTTCACCTGCAGCTGTCACCTGTCTGATGCCTAACAGCCTTCGTTGTAACATTCAGATCACAAAGGCCCGGTTCACAGCCAGTTGTGGGGGATGGGACAGAACTGGCAGCGTTCCTTTGTGCATGGGGCTCATAGGGAATGCTTAGAGAGCGATGCACTTCTGGAAAGTGGAGCTCGTTGGTGAGCTCACTTTCCAAATGGAGGCAGGATAATCTGTGCACTGCCTTCCCATCCCTGAATGCAAGACCACCACCAGTAAGACGCCTGAACTCTGTGCAACTTTGTGTCATGTAGTATTAGTCCTTGAAAAGGTCTATAGTGGGAAAAGATGTGTGGGTGTATTTTTGTTGTTGTTTTTTTCATCAAAGCTGAAGGACAGGAGGCCAGGACAGACAGTTTGGTTTAGCTGTGCTGCATAAACAGCCTTCACATAGTTTCTTTGTAGCCCTGAGCACTGGTTTAGGGTTGAATATTGGCCCTCATTGTCTTTCTACTTAACCATTTGGTAGGACAAATGAAGCCCAATTAGTGGATAAAGAAAAACATACCTACTCTTTGCTTCTTCCACAAAATAATTTTTCATCTACTAAGCCCACAAGTCTACTTTTGTGGCAGTCTGAGGGGGAATAATTGTAAAATTATCAAAAAACTAAAGTAAACTAAAACCCAAACCCCCCTGAATGCAGGCTACCTTTCTTACACAATGAGCTTGCGCAGGGGAAGGCTGGGAACTGCCTGCCCTTAGCATGCCCCAGGGATGGCATCCCCCAGGAACCAGCCCTGGAATCTCTCCCAGTGGTCACAGTGACCTCTGGGCAATCCCATTCTCCACTCCTGAGTGTTAGGTGGATTTGGTTTGGTTTTCAGCATCTAATATAGGACCTAGTACTCTCTTCCAGCACGCGGCCGTCTGCCATGTGCCAGGCCCTGTACTCAGTATTTCACTCCATGCAAGAGTGGAGTTTTGGAAGTTTGTCCACTGGGTCAGTCTTGAGGAGAACAGCCAGTGGTGTTTTCATGGGACTTCCTGGCATGTTTTTCTAAGCCCTAGTGCCCGGGGAACTCTGGTGGTGTCACTTGTGGGGAGTTGCCTGCTAACCTGAAATGCTGACCTCACTGGCAGTTCTCACCCACCAGGGGCGGCTCAGGAAAAGCAGGGCAGGCTGCTCCCGGGGACTTAGTGCCTCTGAAAACACTCTGGAGGGTCAGCTGTGGGTTGGTGCTGAGTCCAGTGGTTCTGACTCGGAGTCATTGAATGCCTAGTGAATGTTTTGTATTGCTTTTAACAGACTTGTGATGTTTAGAAATATTGAGGTAGTCAGTATTAACTGTTTGCTGTGGATCCCAACAGACCCTTAACTGGTCATGTACACATAATGTGTCTGATTTGTGGGGACTCCATGTGTGTCGGAGGGGCACCTTGCCAGGTGGCTGATGTGTTGAAAGTAGAGCACCAGGCCATTCTTCCAAGACGCCTCTGGGTGGACTTGAACCATCATCCTGTAGGTTGGCAGGTCTGTTATTTTGTACCACTTAGGGACTCCCCAGCTAAAGCAAATTCATCATGAACTTAAATATTATCTTCAAACTTCCTGTTTTCTATACCATGGTTACTCTTCTGTGTCAGCCTTTTTTTTTTAATAAAAAAGAAAAAAACAAACCTCAAACTCTTTGCCGTCGAGTTAGAACTAACTCCTGACTCCTAATGCATCCACCAGCGGGTTTCTGGAGGCTGTAAATCACACAGGATGAGACTGTCCATTTTCCCCACATAGAGTAGTTGGTAAATTGGAGCAGCCAGAAAGCTGTGATAGTTCATAGGAACCCAGCTGGAACTGTCAAATGCTAGGCTCCTAACTGAAAGGTCGGCCGTTTGAACCTACTCAGTGGCTCTGCAGGAGGAAACACCTGGGGATTTTCTTGTGTAAAGATTCTCACTTGAAGCAAACTCTTTTGATTTGATTTCTACTCATAGCAACACTGCACCAAGCAGCCAGGAAACGCTGTCTTCCTCTCTCAGATCTGCTGGAAACAGTCTGGAGACAGTTTGAAGCCATTTGATTATAACACACTGCTGACCATACTAGAAGAGGCAGTTCTCCTCCATCATGGATCATGACAGGTCATGGATCAATCATGACAGGTCGTGGATCATCACAGGTCGTGGATCATGACAGCCTCATGGATTGTGACAGGTCATGGATCATGGCAGGTCGTGGATCATGACAGGGTCGTGGATCATCTCAGGGTCGTGGATCATGACAGGGTCATGGATCGTGACAGGTCATGGATCAATCATGACAGGTCATAAATCATGACAGAGTCGTGGATCATGACAGGTTGCGGATCCGTTATGACTGGTTCATAGATCATGACAGGTTGTGGATTGTAACAGCGTCGTGGATCGTGACAGGGTCGTGGATTGTGACAGGTTGTGGATCATGACATAGGTCACGATAGCATGTAATCCACTTGACATCTCACAGTGGAGGTCAGCGGGGGTCAGTTCCGAGTCTACAACACACGTGTGTGCACGCACACACACCCTAAACATGGTATGCCATAGAATGATTCATTTAATCAATGGGAAAACCTAGATAAGCCTGAGCTACACATTTGCACATGGTACTTATCAGTGAGGAGAAGTCAGTTTAAGGGATTGCTGAGGTTGTGGTTATGTGTCGTCGACTGTGACTGATCCTGTGAACAACATCTGACCCGTGCCCTGTCCTGCCCCATCTTCATGATCTCAGTTGCTCAAACTCATTGTTACAGCCACTGTGTCTAGCTTGTTGAGAGTCTTACTCTCTTTTGCTGACCTTCTACTTTTTCCAGTATCGTGGCCTTTTCCCAGGACTGGTCACCATCTGGAGATAGTATGCCCTAAGTATTAAGATGAAGTTTCACAGTCCTTGCCTCTAAGGAGAACTTTGGTTACTCTTCCTCCGAGTCAAATTTATTTGTTCTTTTGGCAGTCCATGGGATATACTTATCCTTCTTCAATCCCACACCTCAAATGCATTGATTCTTCTGTCATCTTTAATCATTGTCCAACTTGCAGATGCATGCTTTCTTATTTATTTTCCAGAAAAATACCATGGCTTGCTCTGACAATGGAGAGAATTGAGATTAAGTCACAAAGTGGCCTAAGAATTTTGTTGTTCGCAGCCATGAGTTTAGCCTCCAATCTGTGGTGACCCCGTGCACATCAGAACAAGGTGGTGCCCAGTCCTGCACGAGGCCATACTGGGTTACAGATTGGGCCGTTGTATCCATAGGGGGTTTTGTGGACATTTTATGCATGCTACAAGTGGCACAGTTTAAAATAAATTCATTTAAGATAGTTATGTTTTTAAAATGTTTAATTAGCAAACTACTTTCCTCTCCCATATAAAGAAACTGACTCACTGGGGGGAAATAATGCAGTGAAAGGAGAAGTGGTGGATTATGGAAGTGTGTCTTTTTGCCTTGACTTTTCTCATTTTCCCAGAGGGTTTTCATGGGCCCATTTTCAGAAGTAGTTACCACGCCTTTGTCCAGGTCCTTAATTAGGAAGCCCTTTTCCTCCAGGAACCTGTTCAGCGTCATAGCCACACCCACGCATCCCTGACCTGAGAGCGGTGGGTGTGAGGTGCATGGGCTGCCGATGCATAAGGCTCAGGGTCCCTTAGCTTTCAAGATTCCTGCATCCTTCCGGCTTTGTGCACACATTTTGAATTTCATGGAGATGGCTGAGTACGTTAGTAATGAATAGGAATCTAAGAGGACCTTGTGTTAAGTAGAATCATGGAGCCAGACATTTGAAGCTATGGAAAGGGCTCGTGATTTCTTATAGTAAAATACGAGTAACACAAAACTTAGCAGTTTAAATGTATAAAACACTTTTTTTATTGTGATGAAACATATATAACAAAGCATTCATCGTTTCAGCATCTTTGACATGTGCACCTCAGTGACTTTAATTATGTTCGTGATATGATGCAACTACCCCCCACTTGTTCACAGCTGACCCTCCAGCGGGCTTTCAAAGGCTGTGAATCGCAGGGCAGGAGACAGACAGCACAACTCCTTACCTGGTAGGTCACCAGAACTTCCACAACCTTCCATAGAAATAATGGTGGTGCTGTGGTTAAGGCATTCAGCACCTGAACAGAAGGTTGGTTAGAACCTTCCAGCAGCTACTTGGGAGAAAAAGACAGTCTGCTTCTATGCAGGCTTATGGCCTCAGAAGTCTGTGGGTGCAGTTCCACTCTGACCTGCAGGGCTGCACTGAGTCGGGATGCCGTGATGGCTGTGGATGGGCTCCCAGAAGCGGTGCCCCTGCATTTGAGGTTGTGAGGTTCAGTGGTGTTTAGTGCATCCTTGGTGCTGGGTGACAGTCATCTCTGTGACATTCAAGACATTTTCGTCACCTGAAAGGAAACCTCAGTTCCCTTAGGCATTATTTTCCATCTTCAGTCCCAGGAAACCTGGTCTGCATTTCTATTTGTTGTCTGCTTCTAGTGAAATCTATTGAGTCTGTTTCTTTAAAGAACAAAATTTTTCCTCAGCTGTCCTTTCCCTTCTCCAGCGCTGCAGTAAACAGATTGTGTCTTTCCCCTTCATTGCAGCATCTATGTCATGGGCCTGGTCCTGGAGTGGATTAAGAACAACGGTGGTGCAGCAGCCATGGAGAAGCTGAGCTCCATCAAATCTCAAATGATCTATGACATCATTGATAACTCCCAAGGATTCTACGTGTAAGTCAGTACATGGTCTCCCCTTCTGCCTCGTGCATTTAAAAATGTAGTGTGCATACTATGTACCAGCCTCATTTGTAGGGAATTATTCTAAATCAAAGGCATCTTCTCTCTGGAGGTTCAGATCCACCAGTGGCTCCGAGGGAGAAAGATGTGCAGTCCCCTCCCATGCGATTTATAGCCTCAGAAGCCTGCTTGAATCAGTTCTGGGTTAATGCATTGAGTTTGAATTTTGGTAGATGATACTCTCACTCTCTTATAATCCTGAGTGGTCTTTCCTCAAAATCTTTGATCATTGATCCGAAGATCCTTCTTCCAATAAGTTTACATTCCCAGATTCCAGAGGTCAGAGCTTGTGCACACTTTTGGGGACCACCAGTCAACTCACTGCAGGCCTCCTTCCAAAGTGCTAGCCAGCCACACACAGTGAGGCACACAATAAGCAGACAAATGATGGACTTTTCCTTCTCCCTTAAGGTGGGCAGGTGCCAACAATCAGCTAGGACTCATAGCGACCCTCCAAGCAGCAGATTTGAACCTGGCCGCAGCCTGCATCCTCCCCACGATCTCTCATGCTCAAGCTGATTGTGGCTGTCGTGTGTCTAGCCACCTCGCTGAAGGTCTTCCTTGCTTTCTCTTCTACCTTTTCTAGCATGTCTTTTTCCAAGGACTGGGTAGGTATTGGTGAACAAAGATCAAATTTCCCATTGTCTTGTGCCTGTGCATATATATGTTTATGATTTATATACACACACAAAAGCTTTTTATTCACTTATCAAAACCATTAAAAACAAGGCTGAAGATGCCTTTGAATTGTGATGTTGGAGTTGAGTACTGAGCATTTCATAGACTACCAAAAGAACAAACAAATCTGTCCTCACATGCAAACCAGGGTGTGCCTTATGTTGTCAGGGAGGGCCTGTCCTTGGAAAACTACACCACGGTGGGCAAGGTAGAGCATTAGTGAAAGACAGAAAGCCAGTGGGCTTGAGCATGTCAGAGGTCATTGGGATGGTGCGGTATAAGATAAGGTTTTGATCTGTTGTGTTGTTTATAGCATCACCATGAGTAGACATCAACTCAGCAGCACCTCGTAACAACATCAAAGCCAGGATCCCCTTCTTAGCAGTCATGATTTTTAGGATTTAGTGTTGCAACAAAACAAAATAAAACAAAACAGCCCACTAGCTGATCATAGTACGGGGATTTGCACTATCTTTGAGAATTTGGTCCACATGGGACAGTCCTAACTTAGAATTGTGTGTCTTAGTAATGTGTTAACGTCTGACGCATTACCCAGTCCACTTGTGTGTACAGGATCTACGTTCTGGAGTTTCCAAGAGCCAGCTGCTGCCACCTCTGCCCTAAAACTGCTCGTTGCAGCTCGTTTTCTGCTCGTGACTTCTTGGCATGTCGTGGCAGCCTGGCTGGGAATGCCGGGCTTGGCCGGATGCCTTGGCCTTTGTTCTTCTCTGTCATGTGCAGTGTCAGAGCCCTGGCTCACCTCTGGGGAAGGTGCACACTAGTGGTCAGCCTCTTCTGTGGGCTGGGGCTAGGGCCTAGACCCTGCCTGCTGTGTGGATAGGAGGCCAGGGGACCCACAGCGCTTGCCGGAGCTTTTTTTAAAAAAAATTGTTTTATGTTGATTTGTGTACAAAATTTGTATACATTGTGTTGCACACATTCCTTCATTCACATTTTATACAGTCATCCTGTATATTGCATTTTATAAAGCCAGTCACCATTGATCTATGCCCACTATTACCCCACTTTTTCAGATCCATGCTAGATCATTCCTAATTCCTTCAACCCCTCCCTCCACCCACCCTCGGCGACCCCATCATTTCCCTTCTTCTCACATTCAGGCTCCTGCCCTCTCCCCTTCTCCCTTTGGCCTTTTATACACATCTTACTAGTTAACCTTCTATTTTTACTATAATGGTCTTAGGCAGTATTTGTCCTTATTAGACTGAGTTCATTCACTCAACGTAATGCTCTCTAGCCTCTCCCATATTATATAGTATTTTTCAAAATCATTGCTTGCCATAACCTTTTAAATGGAAAGGACTAATAGCCACCCCAGGCTGTTCACGGTCAAGGGCTTGGGGATGTGGCAGGGGATTGGAGCAGGGAGCTACTGACGGGGGGTGAGTCAGCCAATGTCTGAGTGAGATGAGGGGAGAGGGCATCCAGGGACTCTCCAGAAGGAGGGGGCAGGATTCCCAGAGTCATGGTCTGTGGAGCAGAGCCAAGGAGCCGACTTGTGCTGGATTAGAAGGAGAGTGTGGAAAGGCCTGTGGGCCGTGTAGTCCATCCATCCACTTGTGTGTCCAGCAAACGTCTCCCAGGTACTCTCCTGGGCCAGCCTTGAACCAGGCTCCAGGACAGAGGATGAGTAAGTCATCCACCCCATGCCGCATGCTCAGAGCCTCCCTGAGGGAAGCCACCTGAGGTGCAGTGGAAGGACCTGGTTTTCCTTTGACCTGTCACGTCTTGTGTGTGGAACAAAGCAGGTAGAGGACAGAAGGTTGACAGCACCTCTGGGAAAAGTCCAGGGTATTAGAAGCATGAAGCATAGGAGGAAGTGTGGAGACCTCTGAGTCCCTCTCCCGAGGTTCCTTTCCCTTGAAGCACCTGGCCCTGGGCACTTCCCGGAAAGCAGCTGCAAAAGCCGTGGGCAGACCTGTCCTGGGGATGACCCCCTCCCATCACTAACCCTCCCTAGAGCTGCCTCTTCAGGGTAAAGGCCTCTGGAAACGTTCTCCTTCCATTCACCTGCTTGGCTGCCTTCCAGAAAATGCCATCTGGGGCTTGAGGTTTTCCCCAGGAACCCTGTTGATGGAGGCAGCTTTGGGGTTTAGCTCCAACTCTCCTCAGTGTTTACTGGGGAACTGTTCTTTGGGAGTTCTCAGTGTAAGGAAATTTTGCTCTATAAAATTGTGGGGAGAACAGAGCTCAAGAACTTCCACAGGGGAGGAGGGTGGTTCTAACCGGCAGTCGTGGGCAGGCTGGAATTTGCTACATTTTGACCCTTCCCTGTCTGCACCTCTGATGGGGTGGCCCCTTTATCAAGCAGTTCTGGAAGATTTGCTGGTGCTATACCAGCCTGCCCTGCCAGAGGCATCCCAGGGATGTGGGCAGAGACGCCGAGATTAGATGAGGTAGGAAGGCTGCCAAGCCAGTGGCTTGTTCCTTGGCCTCACCGTTGCAGGCCCTGGCCGAGCCGAGCCCAGGCTGGCAGTGTTGGGATATTGGGGATTGGAAGCCTGGCTTTGCCACTTTAATGGCTGTGACTTAGGGCAAAGAACATAGCTTTTCCAAGCCTTAGTTTTCCTGTCAAATGGTTGTAATAGTGCATACTCAACCCTTACGGAGTTGCTCTGCTCACCCAGAGTTCACACCTCTCTGGCCATTTGAATCCACCAGTGATGCCGAAGAAGGGTGGACTTCCTTTGTGTTTTGTAATCCTGGAAACTCAGCGGAGGGGTCAGCTGTGAGTCAGTTCCGACTTGATGGCAATGAGTCTTTGATATTTTTTTGTTATAATAGTCATGGGGACTAAGTGAAAACCCCTGCTGATAAAGAATATATATTGCAGGGGTTAAAAGCAAGGAGATACCGTGCTGGCTAATTTGTATAAAGTACTAGGAACAGTGGTTACCCCATAGTAAGCAGTCCTCGAATGTCGGCCCCTCACTATTTCTGGTTGAAATGCTGTCATTCTCTGATGTAATTCTCTTGTTAGGTTGTTAGGTGCCTTCTAGTTGAGTATGACTCATAGTGACCCTTTGAACAGGAGACCTGAACCCTGTCCTATCCTGTGCCACCTTCATACTTCCTGGCACACTAGAACTCATTGTGGCAGTCACCGTGGCAGTCCCCCTGGTTGAGTGTCTTCCTCTCTTTTGCTGACCCTTCACCCACACTGCATCATGTCCCTTTCCAAGGAATAGCCCCTCCTAGCAACATGCCCAAAGTAAGTCATCGTTCTTATCTCCAAAGAGCACTTATAATGTCCATCTTCTCAAATGATCTGTTCTACATATAAATTAAAAAGGTATGGAGATAGGATGCATCCTTGACTCACTCCTTTTGCAATTTTGAACCGTGTAGTGTTTCCTTGTTCTGTTCTGAGGACGACTTTCTGGTCCTACTGTGTAGGTTTTGCATGAACACAATCAAGTGTTTTGAGATTCCCATTCTTCTCAAGGTCAGCCACAGTTTGTTGTCAAAATCTTTCAAATGCAGTCAAACGTCTTTGCATAGTCAATGAAACACAGATAGGCATTTCACTGGTACTCTTTGCTTTCAGCCAAGATCTATCTGACAGTGGCAGTAATGTCTCTAGTGCCACGACCTCTTCTAAACCCAGATTATATTTCTGATAGTTTTTTGTCAATGTACTGTTCCAGTTGTTTTTATTGTTCAATAATTTCCACACTCTATCGGGTCACCATTTTGTTGTTGTTTTTTTTTTTGAATGGGAATAAATATGGCTCTCTTTTACTCAGTTAGCCGGGTAGATGTCCTCCAGATTTCTTGGCACAACCTGGTGAGCACATACAGGGCAGCATCTGTTTGTTGAAATATGCCAATTGGTATTCCATCAGTTCCTGGGGCTTTGTTTTATGCCCATGCCATTGGAGCAGCTTGAACTTCCTCCTTCACCATTGCCTCTTGATCATAGGTTGTTTCATGAAATTCTTCTGTGTCAATGCATTTTGGTACAGTGACTCTGAATACTCTTTCCGTCTTCTTTTCATGCTTCCTGGATCATTTAATATTTTGCCCATAATGTCCTTAAATATTGCAACTCAAGGCTTGAATTTGTTCAGTTCTGTCAGCTTAAGAAATGTCATGCAGTTTGGCCCTCATGATTTTCTGACTCCTGCTCTTTGCACATATCATTTTAATACTTTGCTTTGTCTTCCCGAGCTGCCTTTTGAAATCTTCTTTTCAGCTCTTTAATTTCTTCCCTTTGCTTTGGCTTCTCGGTGCTC